CGGCGGCTTGGACGTTCAGTCAGTCTTACAAAAACAAACAAGTGTGTACAGGAGACCATCGACTACCATCACCATCACGAGACCATCGACTACCATCACCATCACGAGACCATCGACTACCATCACCACAGTCAGTACTTCATATTAAAGATTTTCTCCACCCACACCGTCTTCAATTCTCATAAATTATTAAAATACAAATACTTAGTCGTCCAAAGTCCTCACACAAGCACTTTTATCACAAGGTCTCTCTTCCAACCAGGTCATGACGCTTCATCCAGCCAACACACACACACACACACACACACACACACACACACACACACACACACACACACACACACACACACACACACACACACACACACACACACACACACAATAAACAATACCTGTATAGTCTTCAACACCCCCATCATCAATTCACCCTTGACCACCTGTGACCTCTCGACCCAGTGTGAGAGACCAATATGTCCAGCCTTCATCAGTCGTCCACCAGCCTTGGGGAAGGAGCTGAGGCGTTGGTATGATCACGCCTCCCACCCTCGCCAGCTGTCAACCTTCTGGGCATCCTTCCTTGTTGGCACTCTTCCTGACTGTAGCAACCATCCTTAATGACACCATTTGTCTCTGGGCAATTAAGGAAACAGCAGAAGCCCCCAGGTACTCTTATTCTAGTCCCCCTCCCTACACTGTTCATCTCGCCTCATGATAAAGCCTCGGGATCCACTGCTAAATGAGGCCTAACCACAAGCCAAAGCGTAAATTGTAGGTATATCCCACAGCGGGCTGCCCAGGCCTATTTGTTCAAGTTATGAATACATGAATAAGACTGACAATGACTGGGGAATACTGGGGTGGTGTGTGGGGTCCAGCTGGGGTAGGGTGGTGTGGGTTCTGCTGGGGTAGGGTGGTGTGGGTCCAGCTGGGGCAGGGTGGTGTGGGTTCAGCTGGGGTAGGGTGGTGTGGGTTCTGCTGGGGTAGGGTGGTGTGGGTCCAGCTGGGGCAGGGTGGTGTGGGTTCAGCTGGGGTAGGGTGGTGTGGGTTCAGCTGCGGTTGGGTGGCGTGGGTTCAGCTGGGGAAGGAGTATGGGTTTGCTCAGGGAGAAGGGTGTGGGTTCAACTGCAAGGGACGTGAGTCTAGGCAAGGAGGGGGGGTGAAATTTGGTGCTCTCAGATGACTAAAAGTGAGATTTAGGAGAGAGGAGAGGATATACGTTTATTTTAGTAAGGTAAATCGGTTAGGAGGAGCGGAGTGGTGGGGGATTCTGTCGGGTGTGTTTAGCAAAAATAAAAATAAAAATAAATAAATAAAAAAGTCAAACCCTCCTCCTATTTGTAAGAATGTTCCACCTTTTGGAGTATATCGCATACCACATACGAATTTGCTAACATACCCAGATTATATAATGGTACACATCATAATGTGCCAACACAACAGGAGTGGTTGTCCTAAACACTAGATAAGTTTTTACAACACCAAAGAGTGTCACAAACACAAGGGCAATATTTAACAAAGTATATGAGAGACTGTTATAAACACAACATTTATCAAAAGATTGCGTAACAAATACTAGATTAGTATTTACCAACACATCAAGAGCTGTGTGAGAGGACAAAGTAGTTAGTGTTCCAAAAACTCTACAACAAACTTCACCAACACACAAGCACAGACGAGCGAGCGCGAGCTTACGAAAATACTTTTGGGTTGTCCTTAACAGGGGCGTGGCCTCGTCTCTTTACACGTGGGTAGGGGACGACAGGGCTAACCATTTCTGCCAGGTAACGAATCAAACTAACCAAAGCTCTACCTCTCCCAACTAAAACAAATGATTAAATTTCTACGAGCAGCGATTATACTACAGGTGAGCCTCTAGTACCCGAGGCGGTGATGGCCATGGTGTGTCGCAGGGTGGGCGGGTACATATGACCTGGCTCCGTCTCAGCACCCAGATACATTACTCTGCTCAGCAGGTGAACACCTCACCTTACAAACCTCCACTCATCCTGAATCCCATGCATTTCGTATCCTCCGCCCATGCCTGAGTATTTGGTACCGTCAAGGAAGAGTAACCTCGAGAGTGGTCCAGGCAGTGATGGTGTTATCATTAGCAAAAAAAGAACCTGCTGCACTTTGATATCTGGAACCGTCAAGGAACATTAGTATTGCCACAAGTCTTCGACCTGACAATATGTAGCGTTGTAACTGACTGTACCATCGGATAAAACACCAATTTAAAAATGCAGTCTCCAGGGTTTAGGCTGGCAATGGCAGCGTGTACCGCTGTGCCCATACAAGCAGGTATGAGGATGCCACTTGTACCTGGGCTGTACTAGTACCATCTGACAACTGGACTGGTGAGTGGATGTACCAACACCATCCCAGGTGACGATAATTGACTCTGAACATCAGTATAACCAGCCTGGCATCTTGTACAGCCTCCTCTTACCAACAACCCGTCAACTTCACACGCTTAAAGGAAGTATCTTACTGCAGCAGCTGTGGACTCTCTGCCAACGTGTGTTAAACAGAACTAACAACAACAGCAGTAAGAGCAGTGTTAACAAAAGCAGCGCCATCAGCAATGCGCGTGACTGTCGCAGCAGGCTGTGTGGCGCCGCGCCGGGTGGGTGACCACACAGGAGGTATGTGGTGCGAAGCCCCCCCCCACTGGTGGACACACACCGTCCCACCTTACCATCCATCACCTATCCACTCAGCTCCCAAACCTCTCCACTAGTTACCAACTATTCGCCTACCTACCATTTAACCAATCTATATATTCCGACACACCTGTAGCTCCCAACTATCACACCTCGTACCCACACAAGCCACCATACCCAACCCTCCTCGGCCGTCCTTCAGCCCGTGGAAGGGGACCCTACCGGCATCAACACCTCGTCCTGCGGATCCTTCACCTCCTCAGTTCACCACTTTGTTTACACGCGCCATACACGGACCCGGTCACTTAGCGAGGCTGCACCATATGTGTTCACTAGTGAAGACCCCGAAGTTTGCAAACTATGACTGAGAAGGTTTGCGAGTTCCATGATATCTTAAATACAGCTTCTAAAACCACTAGATAACTTTTACACCCACTGTTACTTCCAAAATCTCTTTAAACATGTTATTCCTTCTAAAACCACAAACTAAATTCTGTGTAGTCTAATATCGTGTATAAAAGCACTAAATACATTCTGTGATATATACTAACACTTCTAAAACAACAAGATAAATTATTTGATAAATAAAAATTCGGCAATGAGTAAATTCTGAGACTTCCACAATATGTAAAGTAACACAACCGACTCCCACTACCCAGGACACTAAAACACCTGAAACTATACCTGGTACACTTCCTCCAGACCGCACCATATACCTGCACGTTCCTCTCACACACACACACTTGATATGCCCGACGCACCACGACTCATTTGCACATACAACGGACCAAATGCTCACCTCACACGCACATCCGACGACACACATCAACATCGTGAGCAACAACTGACAAAACATATGGGCAGACGACCAACACCTCACACAAAAACCGACACACACACACATGTAAAGACTAATGGCTAAAAGCACAAAGACTCTCCCAAACCGACGGAACGACTGACAACCCAAGCACAATTGAGCTGACAGATTGACAGGTTTGAAGCTGACAGATATGAAAAATCCCCGAAATTATTAGGAAGGCTGAAAAAAAAAATAGACGAGTTAAGATGAAAATTGGATCTTTTGGCGAGAAAAAATAATTATTCTCAGAGTTGGACATTAATGTTTTTACCGAGTGTAATACAAAAATCATAGGTGACGTGGAATTAACATTGCAAAATCTAATTACAATTCTCCAAGAGTCATTAGGACAAGAAATTACCAAAGCATCTATTTTTAATTAGAAATCTCAAATCACCATCTTCAGGAGTACCAATACATTCTGAATCAAAACGGACATCTTCAAGACTACGGCCTAACTGATACGGCTTAGTAATCTTATGGCCTAACTGGTACGGCTTACGGCTTTATAATCTTCAGGACAGATAAACCTTTTCGCTAGCGATAGGAAATTAATATTTACCTGTAATTTAATACAACAAGAATAACACACGAACGCCAAAAAGTACCATAAAGTCATAGGTGGTGAATAATTAGTAAGAAACATGAGGAAAATGATTCAACGGAGAGAGAGAGAGAGAGAGAGAGAGAGAGAGAGAGAGATTTTGAGAAGCACAGACTGCTACTCAGAAGAGACGAGACGAAAAAAAAAAAAAAACGAAATTCCAAGCAGGCCAGGACAAATATATACACACAACCACGCGTGTACACAGACGACCCCCTCATGAATACACAGCAACTCCAACAAACACTTCGCATACACAACGAGACACTAGTGAATGTTTGTTTCAAGTTGACGTATTTTTATGCTCCCAGTGGTTGTGATACAGATTCTTAGAAGGGTGTATTGAAGTCCACCTCCATTCTCTCCCCCCCCTCACGCCCATCTCCTCTCCATCACTGACTCTTCCTCGGCTCTTCCTTTCATCTCCTCCCTCTCTTCACCTACTACTGTATCTCCCTTCATTCCATCCCTATTTGAGGACCCCTTCACTTTCACGAGCCAACGCAATACAATCCTTTCCCTTCCTAATCAATATTATCATCCAAACTGTTTTTTTGTAATCTTAGTAACTCTTTCATTCACGTAACCACTAAATTTGAGTGCTTGAGTGTGTGTGTGTGTGTGTGTGTGTGTGTGTGTGTCCATTACAGTTATGCGCGTCTCAGTGGGTGCGTGCAAACATCACCTCAACACTGGAGACTTATCCCTAACTATTCACCCGAAACTCTTGACAAGCCTTACCAAAACTTGCCAATTAAAAACGGGAGGTTCAATATCCGTGTTCACCCACTCTGCTGAAAGAACAGTGTCCTCCACCCTCTCATGACATGTGAACGACTTAAAGCATGATCTGGAGAACAACATCGGGACTTACCGTTGTCTGTGTTCTCCTTCAGGAAATTGTTCACCACGATGAAGAACCTGAAAAGATAAAGTCAAGTTGAAGATTATTTTCAGTTCACCATCAACATATGTTAGGCAAGTGACGGTACAGGATAACAAGACATACTAAATAATGCCTAACATATTGAAACATCTAATCTGCATATACCGAGGGAAAAAACTAACCCAGAAGACAATACTACAATATAAAGCCATATTTGCACCCTAGACTGCGGGAAGAGCCATCTATATATAGCCCACCAACCATAACTGCCCTGTTGACCCAAGCTATAAATCACCATAAAACGTCGGAGGCGTACACCCGACACCACCAACTTTGTACAAAAATGAAAACTGATGATCGTCGGAGCCCATTCGACGACAGAGACCTCGCATAAATAGTAATACAAGCCTCTGGTTAACCCATATGACACAAGACGGGTGGAGTAAAACCACAAAAATTAACACCGGCTAGAACTGCCCTAGAGGTCCCTTGTATAAATTTGGTTTATTTATATTATAAGGTGAGAGACGACGGTGCTCAACTTACACTGGAGGAGGGAAGCGTTGTATCTACTGCGCCGGGATAACTTGTAGTGGCTATTGTTTTACTGCTGACCGATGAACAGTACACGCCATCCTGCTGCGGCCATTCTCAGTTCTACAAATAAGACAGGGTCCAGTATGGCCCCCTACGGGTATTCTATACTGATGAAAGTGTCAATCATTGTGGAGGAGGAGCGGTGTCTCGCCTAGCCACAGGGCCGGGTGTCACGCCAACACCTCCGTTAATTATTCCCATCCTAAACACACACACACACACACTACATCAAAAGACGTGTACATGGCAGCCATATTTAACTTCAAAAGGTAATAAAATATCATGGACACCAATGTAGCATAGAATGCATTTAAGTTTATTCTTAATTTTATTTCTCATATGGCTTTCAACATATCCAAAAAATTAGATATGATAATAAATAATGATAGTAATATAATAATAATAATAATAATAATAATAATAATAATAATAATAATAATAATAATAATAATACACAAATAAAATAGAACGGCAATCCTAAATAGCAAACACTATGCAGGCAGGAATAGCTCGGACCATTGTGAAAAAAACTAACAAAGATACAAACATGAGGCGAGCAAACACACAAAACCCCACAACCTTCGTATTCTTTCCCACATAAAAAATACGATAGTAAAGAAAAGCGAGTCGTAATTATACAGTTCAAATGCAACACATAAATTAATAAACGAAGACTGTGCTGATTGGAAGCATTTTAGTAACAGAATAAAATCTCACGAGTCATCAAATGAACACTTGTTCAACTTAACCAAATGGATGGGAGTGAAAAGTAGGTTGTGTTCAATGATTACCATAGATACTCACATGTTACAAGACTGAATAAAAAAGGGACCGTTGGTGATAGGTTGTAACACGTATAAGAGCTGTACAGTACCTAGCTGAGCACAACACGTATAACAGCTGCACAGTACCTAGCTGAGCACAACACGTATAACAGCTGTACAGTACCTAGCTGAGCACAACACGTATAACAGCTGTACAGTACCTAGCTGAGCACAACACGTACCTAGCTGAGCACAACACGTATAACAGCTGTACAGTACCTAGCTGAGCACAACACGTATAACAGCTGTACAGTACCTAGCTGAGCACAACACGTATAAGAGCTGTACAGTACCTAGCTGAGCACAACACGTATAACAGCTGTACAGTACCTAGCTGAGCACAACACGTATAAGAGCTGTACAGTACCTAGCTGAGCACAACACGTATAAGAGCTGTACAGTACCTAGCTGAGCACAACACGTATAACAGCTGTACAGTAGTTGAGCGTGATCCAGATATATGCTGATAACCACAAGGAAAGAAGAAAACACGATGATGATGATGACTTGCCCGGGGCCCCTTCATTACGGCTCTGATCCTGAGTGAAAATAAATCAATCCCACTCACAAAAGATAAGACGAGATTGAGAACTAAAGAAAAAAGATAAAAAAAACAGCGAGCTCATAAATTCCTTCGGCTTGCTTCAGTAGGTATGATTCGTATCTTCATGACAACATAATCATAATCTTAGGGGGTTCAGGTCTTTACCCTAGTTAACATGCAAGTGCGGAACCTCTTATCCAACCCTAAGATCCCCTTAAAGTACAAAGCCTCTTAAATTATCTTAATAATAAAAAATAGGGAGAAAAAAAGTCAGTATAAAATGCCCTTTCCAGCCCTGAAGAATCCTTTACCAAACCCTACAGGCTCCTTGTGTCTTACTAAATTTTGTACTTGTTTTCAGTCTATATAATTCTTCCTATTGTTCCCCTAGGTGCTGTCACAAGAGAGAGAGAGAGAGAGAGAGAGAGAGAGAGAGTGTGTGTGTGTGTGTGCTAAACAGTTGCTGTCAAGAGGTCCAGTGAACAGAAACTTCTCAAGAGACACAAGACTGAGCTAGAGCGCACCACAAGACAACATCACGGTCCTTCTCCTCCAGTATCTCAACCACCTCCTTCTGCCATTCATCGCGGCTCCTCTGACAATAAGTCTCTGGCGGGCCCCGGGGACATAAAGTAGCCTGCTGCCCCTCCATCAGCCTCTATCAAGCTGGCAAATCCTGTCCAGCCTTCCCTAATGGTGAGGTCCAGTCGGGGCATCTACCATTACTCAGGTTACATTACACCCTCCACCCTCCTCTCTATCTCTGTCCACTCTCATTACCCACCATTTAGCACCCATTCTCCCACTGGCCTCTTAGACGTGCCGATCACATCTCCTAGGTGGGATGTATTAATGATGTGACCATCACTCAAGGGGTATGGGAAGGAAGAGGCCCTTTGTGGCACGAGGCTATACCCATCACAACCACTACTACCTGTCACACTATAGTACGAAACCACCACTACTACTACTACTACCACCACCACTACTACTACCGCCAGTGCATCACGTCATCACACCACCACCCCCAATAGGTTATGCCCACCACCACCACCACCATCTCCATGACCACCAACAGGCCAACCCAAAGTAAACACTAGTTAAAGTACACTCACAGACGATATACACTACATATACACATTACGTATACAGCATATACTTAAAAATTTCACATTTCCCCTCAGTGCATTAGTGTACTTATTACGTAAATACTAGGCACTTACTTTCATCAGATTACCTCAAATGCTAACTTTAATATCCAACAGTAAACGGGTTTATCAGATGCCCTGTCGAGAGAGCCACATCTTTCATAGGGCGCAGACGCTATTAATAATCTTCACGGTATAATTTGCATAAGTAATCTAATGGACTATATTAATGGTTTCACTTACAATATTACCACCTTCTTCTCATTATAGATGCATCACATCCCGTTGGAAAAGCCACAGTCCACAAACCACTCGGCCAAAGCTCCAGTAAAGCACACAACAGAGAGAAAATAAAAGTGGAGGTTGTTGTAGGATGATAAAAGTTACTAATGATAACAAAACTTGCATAGATTATACACAGGCGACAGGAACAGCGCCAAACGACACCAGGAACCGACGAAATGTGGAGAGTAGCACAACCCTCAACAGCAATGACAACAGCACAACCCTCAACAGCAATGACAACAGCACAACCCTCAACAGCAATGACAACAGCACAACCCTCAACAGCAATGACAACAGCACAACCCTCAACAGCAATGACAACAGCACAAGCCTCAACAGCAGCAGTAGTAGAATTGACAGCAGTAATACTCTGGAAAACACCTGCAGCAGTGACAACGGCACACGCTCCTATACACCTGAGAGCGCGGCAGGTGACGTGTGTGGGGTACATTACCTGAGCGTCATTAGGCTGACTGAGGCACAAACTCCACAGGCAAGGAGATGGGCAACTGTTCACACGGTACTGCTGGCTAACCACACCGCCTCCTGGGCATGGCCACAGACACACAGACATAGACAGATACACAGACTGACAGAAAGATAAAAACATATATACATAACATGACAAAGATTGACACTGTACATACAAAATAAATTCAGCTTCGCCAACAGAACACTCAACGACTCGTCATGATCCACGTTGAGCACATTGTGTAAATCCGCCAAGCAGGTGCCGCACTAACTACCCAACCAGGCAGTCTTACCACGAGAGTAGGTTATGGCTTTTCCACCTAAAAGTGTCAGCAGAGAAATCAGAACAAGCAGACCCGTGAGTGAAAAAATACAACGGTCTCTCTAGAAATGAAGAAAAATAAGTTTCACATAATCACAAAGAAAAGCATCCGTTGGCTTAAAAATATTCTTGGTGCAAAAGTCAAATTCTTTTCCTTAAATATAAGATCAAACCAAATATAAAATCCCTAGAGAGAGAAAAAAAATACTGACCTAGAGGAGCTAGAATCACATCAGAACTGTACGACGACAACATTACATGACCCTTTTTTAGGAGATAACAATCTAGGACTGCCCTGAACAATAATAATTAGGCGATACTCCCTTTAACCCTCTCTTGTTGACATGGTTCCTCATCTGACTTTTATCCGTGTCTACAACCATCCTTCCCTCCCACTTAAATAGCCAAATCCCACCACAGTAACCCTTGTGTCCATCACGCCCCGTCTGACCATAACAAGCTGTCCACCACGCCCCCTCCACTAAAATCCTAAGCCCTCTCTACAATTCATTATTATTTTGACTTCACTTTGTGCGTAAATGTTCCCACGATAGTAATAATTTTCCCCTTAGAAACTTTAATGCTCTATTGACCACGTCCCCTAGCTAGTAAATATAACCCCTTTAGTGATGTTAGTCTGTTATTGACCACGTCTCTTGGATAGATCGCCATGTCCCCTTTGCTATAATTTGAACCCGTTACTGATGACATCCCCTTTTTTATAATCCTTTATGAGCCTTTCCCCCTTACTTAACTAATTAAGGAGAGTATCCCTTACCCGATTTACTTCAACCTCTAGACACACTTGGTGAAAATAGTTGTACTCAAATTCTTCAAGTAATCC